TTTATGTCTGGATAGACGCCAGGTCCGTTTTCAGTGCGGTGGAAAATGAAAATTTCAAATATCCAACGGAAAAGTCACTACTCTCTCATATCTCATGGATTAAACAGTTGACCACCTCGAAGATCATCAGCATTTTAGGTTGGGTCGACACACGCGACATGATAGCCGATGGAATGACCAAAGGTTCCATCGATCGGTCGCAACTAATTAGTGCAATGAAGGGGTATGTACGAAGACTACACCCCGCTGAATTCATGAAGACCAGAGGGACACGTCCTCTGGCGAGCACAGATACTGAAGTTTGAGCTCGAGCCAGTTACAACATCTTACCAACTTACAGGAGAACACTCGACTTGAAAGGTACATGATCTACCATGCCTCAGGTTCATTGTTATCCATGTAACTGTTCTGGCTCTAGAGCTCGACCTAGGTAAACACAAGACTTCGTCACAAGCGGACAGAGGAAAACAGACATTTGCGGAAACAGTACTTCTTTGTCACTTTAGTTCCTCTATTTTTCGAGTTATGCTTCCTCATTATATGTTGTGTACTACACACCCAAATGGAAAGCCATGTCCCGACAAAGTATGTAATATATCCCCATATTATAGTCAGTGTCCCCAGTGCAATCCCCAGTTTTCATTCAATGGATTGGTTTAAGGGAAAATCTACAGGAAACCATAGATTTTCCCATTAAATATGGGGCTTTCCTGTAAATTGTCCCTTAAACCAATCCATTGATTCATGGTAAATTCCACCTTTTTCTTGTTCCATCAACTTACTCCCGGGACTCCCGAGGTTTATTTTTTCACTTGCCGATCATGCTGGGCAACCCAGGGCGGACTTGTGGATCCTGATCCAGTATGGTGATGCCAAAATGGCTGGCCTTGCATTGCATCTATCATCACAGAATGGGTATATACATATGTATATATATATATAATATGTAATATATATATATACATATATATCTGGTTGGTGGTTTGGAACATGAATTTTATTTTTCCATATATTGGGAATTTCATCATTCCAACTGACGAACTCCATCATTTTTCAGAGGGGTAGGTCAACCACCAACCAGATATATATAATATGTACCCTCTGGTTATTTAACATAGCCATGGAAAATCACCATTTTTAATAGGTAAACCATCTATAAATGGGCCATCTATACCATGGCTATGTTAAATAACCAGAGGGTAATATTGTGTACTCTGTAGTCATGTCATGTCATCCCGAAGTTTCCCGTCATTTCCTGACAGATCACCGGTGTTTCCAAAAGTAGGGGCGCCACTAATTTTTATTTGAAGTCAGAGCATGTTTGGATCCAAACCCACGCAGGTTCTCAGTGGATTCTCCAGCGACCATGGTTGGGGAGCCTTGGGGGTGTGAGATGTTGACGTTTCCAACGCTAGAATCATCTCATCTACTCATTTTTTTTCTTTGATTCAAGTGAGTTTTCAGAGATGCACCATGAGTTTTCAGCTTTGAATGGTATGAGGTTGGCAGCATTTCGTTCTTTAGACAATTTTTCACCCATAGATGATGCTTTCTGTGGAGTTTGGGTTGAAGCTAATTAAAATTGTTGGGGTGTATAGTCTGTTGCAGACCTCAAGAAAACAACTTGTAGACTTATTGGTTGTCGATGAGATTCGCCCGAAAAAACAAAAAGCCAAAGATCGATCATGGGGAGTGACACCAACCTTGGGGTTTTCCAATTTAACCCATGGGATATCTCAGATCTCTGGTTGGTTTAATACCTCCATGGCCATTTATACAGGCAACCTGGAAGATGATCATTTTGTGCATCCTCTGAAAGCAGGGGAGAAAAATCATGAAAGCATACGGGGACGGATGTTTTTTTGCTATGGGACAAGCGTTTTTTTTTGATTTTTTCGATTTTTGAACCAAACCCCTTTGGGTCAAACCTTCATTGCAGCCGTTCTTTGGAGCTGATCCCATTCGCCATCTTGTGCCATGCTTGCAGCATGACTCCATGACCCTTACTTGGATGATCATCCATGCCTTGGATGATCTCAGCAAATGTTGTTGAGTCTTCCAACTACTAACATGTGTCGAGACTTATGGACCCATAGACTTTAGTCACTTTTTTATGCCATCCAATGTTTGGGGACCTTAAGCCATACGCAGATGGATTAATTGGGTTCCAAAAACAGGGCTCCATGGTGCTGGTATACATTTACCAACCTGACCCCGGCTCAAATCATCTTCCATCTATTTTGGGACGCCCCAAATTGACTCCATACCCATACTTACCTCAAAATTCGAAATCCAACAATTCCCTTGGTCTATCATGACTTTCTTCATGATTTGATGACATGTGTTGTTTCTATCCCCAATTTGACCCAGATTTGATGGGTCTTTATCACACTTCTGGTACCCCACAAAAAATTGTGCCCAAGAGTGACCAACGTTGGAATATCGGAGTTCGAGGCCTTCGTGGCGAACCCTGGCATCCAACAGCCGCGACCATCAGCGACAACACGTGGTGCAAAGGAGGCGGAGACTTGTCGGCGCACGTTGGCTGAATCGTTGTGACTTTTCAAAATGGTGACCCTCCGGAAATCAAACGTAATTAAACGTGGCTAGCTGGGAAATCCATGGAAATCCCCCAAACTAGCCATGGAGGTTTCGTTCGCTGGCAAAATCATCGACCCAAATGGGGATTTGTCCATTGCCCGCAAACCATGTTTGATTGCCAGAAGGTACCACTTAAATGAAATGGCTCTGCCGGAAAATGGGATTGTACCGCACCCCAAATAGCAATTTTAAACGGGAAAAGGATGATTAACCCAATTTTTTGAGGGGTCCATATTTTCAGACAAACCCAGATGGCCTCCCAAAATTCAAAATCATCAAAGAACGGAGAGTGACATGGTTGCTGATTTGTTTTTCCGATGGCGCCTGAAAATGCGGCAATTTCAGATGGAACACCATCCCCAGACTTTCCTTGGGGTAGAACCACCGACATCGCCCGACAATGGATGAGCGATGAAAAAGTGCCATGGTCAAACGGGTAATCAAACATGGCAATTGAAAATCCGAGACACATGTTGCTTTAATAGAAACATCATCTACAATTTGGTGATGTTCAATTGCTATGATTGATTACCAAGGGGTAGATTGTTGTGTACCCATCTTTCGCTCTTATACATCTATCGATTCACACAGGGATTTAGATGATTTATACACCAATGTTCCATCAATTTTCAATGCATTTTCCATCCATTTTCCATTATCATTCCAGGATTTCGGTTCTGGGATGACCATATAACCGCCATTTCACCGCGGTGAGTCGCCGTAACCAGATGTTTTTTTGGAGGCCCAGTGGTTTCAGAGATCCATGTGATACAATGTGTATTTCAGATGTATGGTGGTGACTGGAACCATGGAATTTTCCTGGTTAATCTATGGTTAATAATGGTTAAATAATGGTTAATCATTGGAATAACAATATATATCTGGTTGGTGGTTTGGAACCATGGAATTTTATGACTTTCTGTATATTGGGATTCATGCTTTGCCAACTGACGAACTCATGTTTTTCAGAGGGGTTGAAGCCACCAACCAGATACATAATTAGACACTTGAACACATATTACACATACATGTACCATCATATACCTATATCCATACCTATACCCCTAGCTAGACGTAGACCTATACCCGTACCTATACCTATACAGTAATATACATGTATATATATATACGTAAACGTATACATAGTAGATGTATATTCCCTCGGATCGGGGAGCCAAACTGAACCATCGAGACGATTCTTGGCGGAGCTTCGCCAGGCTGCTCCGAAGGGCGCCACAGGTGCAGCCCCTGGAACCTTGAGAGAGTGGCGGGAATTGTTCACCCAAATGCGCTGCGGTTTAGTGGTGGTTTAATGGTGGTTTAATGATGGTTTAATGATGGTTTAATGGGATTTAGTGATGATTAATTGGAAATTCACCAACAGACATGAGGATATGAATGGGAAGTAACCTCCAGTTCACGAACATGGTGATGGACCGTGAGCCATTTATAGATGACTTACCTATATTTACCTATTAAACATGGTGATTTCCATATGTGTGTTTACCAGAGAGTATTGTTTGTAGATGTTGGGAATTGGTCGGTGTTCTTTTTTTCCCAATGATTGGTTGGTATTGGTAGATACTTATGTTTGTTACTGTTGATGTCGGGAATGGTTTTTGGTGATTTGAGGCTTCTTTTTGAAGGTTACAAACCAGTCGGAAATAGCGGATCCACGGACCCATGTGACAAAACATTTACCAAGTGCCCTGATGATCGGCACTGATTTACATCCCCGTTTATATCAATTTATCGTTTTTTTTCCTCCCAGGTTTTTTCCATGAAAACGTGTATTTTCTATTGCCAGGAAGGATTTCCAGGGGGTATCTGCCATGAACAAACTGCCACGCCATCTCTGCTGGTTGAGGGAGCTGATTATGTCCATCATTGAACCAAAGCAAACCATGTTTGTTTAATGGAGGTTTAATAGGATTGAGTGGGATATAATGCGGGTTTAATAGGATTTAATGGGATTTTATGATGATTAATAGGGATTTCACCAACATGGGGATGCTTGCAAACACGCAATACTACTCCTTGTTTGAAAGATTGGTGACTTCTTCCGACGTAGGCTGGGCCGGTCGCATTGGACTAACAGCTTCATGGCGCGCGAATCACTTGGTTTGTCCGGAAATACTGTACCCCCCCAGAATCCCAATGGTTTCATGTGCGGTACCATGCTCTGGGGGGTGTTGAACTTGCCTTTGGTCGGCATATCACGGTATATATATACACATATACATATATATATATATACATATATATATACACATATACATATATATATATATACATATATATATGTATATATATATACATATATATATGTATATATATATACACACATTACACCATGTTTGGACAAAGCCACATCTGCCGTGACTCGATGACCTGCTTGGATGGCCATGGGATGTGGTGCATCGGAAGTCAGCACTGAAAGCACCTGGGCGATGGCCATCGGGTCAGTTTTTGGGACATTTTCGGATGACAGCACATGGTAAATTCATAGAACTGGATGATGGGAAAATTTTAACCGGAAAGCCCTATATTTGATGGTAAAAACCATGGTTTCCGGTTCAGATTTTCCCTTAAACCAACCCATTGATAAATATCACATATCCTCATTGAACCCCCCCTTCAGAAAATTTGCTCATACGCTAGCCGTCCAAATTATGGCACTCGCCTATCATAGTGAGATGATGTCCACAACGCTACAGTACAGTTCTACTCCGTTCAGTATTGGTTGCACCCCCATGTTCTCCGTTTGTTGAGTAACTGTTTATCTTCTTCATATTCCATGTATTGATCCTGATACTCACCATCTTTGCTCATATCTCCACGGTATCAGGTATGTCTTGGTCCAAATGAGGTTCTCCCCCAACTTCTGGTAACATTTTCACAGGGAACATTATCACAAACCATTGGATGTTTCCAAGATGGTTTGGACATACCTCTGGAGCAGACCCCATGCCAACACCCCAAATGAAAGGAATCCTCTTATAGACCCTCTTCAAGTGGCAAGAGGTATGCTGTGCGGGCCTGGTTCTTTTTCTGAGAATGTTGGGGATGTTACAGGATGTTGGGGCTATAGAAACCCATATGGATTTGTCTGAAAATAGTGTACAGTATCCCTACATCCATTGCTAACAGTGATCATTTTCCCCTCATTTTCCCATTAAAATGGCAATTCTGGGGGTATACCCCATCTTCAGGTATACCCAACTTCATGCTAGTGGCAATCATCCTGAAAATCCACTGATTCAAAACATCAACTTTCCCCATGACTGTGCTCACTCCCGGCCAGCATTGCGGTCACCTTGGCGCCAAGGTGACCGCAACGCAGCTCCTTCGAATGTGGATGTGACGACTGCCTCTACGGGGCCGCAGCGGAGGTGAGCATTGGAGTTTTGAGCGTCCCAAAGATGGTCATATCATTGGTGCATGCTGGTTGGCTGATTCTCAAATTGGCTGAGTTGCGTATCCTGTCCTGTGTCCTGGAGTCATGTGTCCTATCCTACCTGTCTATCTATCATTATCTATCTAGCTATCTTGGATCATCACACAATCCCATTGAACAGCGGCCATTCTTTACGGAATTGTCCCATAGCTTCATCTGCCAGGTGGGTGCAGATTCCCGGTGACAGGGCGGAAAGTGGAGACTTGACCAAATGTGGGCTGATTGATGCTGATTGTAATCTTTTATCATCTTTTATCATCTTTTATCATCTTAATATCGTTGGTAGATGTTGGTAAAGAATGTAAATACCTGACAACTCGAAACTCGAGTTTTGAATTCCAGGTTTGGGCTTGAACATTGACCAAGAATGGGTTGCCTTGGCTACCCCTTGAGTAATGTGGTAACCCGACAAGAAAACCCACCTTAACCACGGGTATATGTGGTTTTCTGGTTTATATTAGCACTCGCAGATGGCAAATTTTGGGTAAATGGAGTATGGTTCTTTATTGGGTTCACCACACGATATCAAAGTGAGAGGCGGGTGCAGGAATGAGAGATGGGCTTCGGTATGGATCCAGGCTTGAGGCACATCTTTCACCCACAGAGATACATTTTTAATCCACAGAAATGGGGGTGTGTACTGCAATGGAAATGCGACTAAGAGGAACGATGATACAACCGGTCGAAAGAGAGCGACACATATGGTTAGTTCCGATAGTTGGGTGAGTGACGCCAGAAACAGGGAAACATAATATGTGGAATATATGTGATGTATAGGACTTGCGGCGGGAGGATGCGAACTAAGATGTGTAAAATGCAAATAGAAATGGGGTCCCCTATTTTCTGCATCCCTAATACGTATCTTAAATCAACATAAATCAACCCCAAACTCCCCCTTCCAAGTCCCCCCATGATTGTTTTAGAATGTTTTAGATGATTTTCCCATATTATTGACATGAGGATTTTCGGACCTAAAGGCAGCTTCGAATCCACCTTCATTTTTCACATCCCAGGCTATGTTCGCTTGTCGCCCTTTGACTATGCCTCTGCGGGCCGGCCGGTGCCGATGGTTTGGTTCTATCCCGAGAGGTTGGACCTTGATGCCATGGTGGCGACGTTGGAAAAGACGCTGGAAAAGTACCAGCTCTTCACGGGAAGGCGCTGAGGGCGCTGAGGGCGCTCTTTGGGTGCTCTTTGCCCTCAAAAATGGTGATTTCAACGGGAAAACATGGGAAAACTGGGAAAACCATGATAATTCAAGCAACAGAAATGGCGAGAAATGGCGCCATTTTTTCATGGAGGGTTAATTATTTAAGGATTTTTTTTTTGATCAGGTTTAGGAATTATTTTTGGATTCCTGCTTCTCTGCTTTTCCTGCTTTTCCTGCTTCTCTGCTTTTTTGCTTTTCTGCTTCTCCTGCTTCTCGCCTTTTCTGCTTTTTTGCTTTTCTGCTTCTCCTGCTTCTCTGCTTTTCTGCTTTTTTGCTTTTCTGTTTTTCCTGTTTCTTTGCTTCTCTGCTTTTCCTGCTTCTCTGCTTTTCTGCTTTTCCTGCTTCTTTGCCTTTCTGCTGTTTTGCTTTTGTGCGTTTCCTGTTTCTTTGCTTCTCTGCTTTTCCTGCTTTTCCTGCTTCTCTGCTTTTCTGCTTTTCCTGCTTCTTTGCCTTTCTGCTGTTTTGCTTTTGTGCGTTTCCTGTTTCTTTGCTTCTCTGCTTTTTTTTTTGCTTTGCCTGCTTTAAATTTAAATACTTGATTTTCATGTCAGATGCATTTTGCACAGTATTTACATCCCTGAGTATCACATGACCAACCTTCTCTTGAAAACTAGCAACGTAACATGTGAGAAGAGGTGCTTGCATTCTGCTTTGGGGGGAGGCGCTGCGCCCTCCCCCAATCCCCCCCTCCCGCTTTTTTTTTATTTAATCTTAAACCCAAGTTACATTAGTTGGTTTTTGCGAACTAACCTTCTCTGGAAAGCTGACAGGATTACATGTGATAGATAGATATATAGATAGATAGATAGATAGCTGGATAGATAGATAGCTTGGTAGATAGATAGCTAGATAGATAGATAGCTAGATACCTCGATAGATAAATGGCTAGATAGATAGCTAGATAGATAGATGGCTAGATGGATAGCTAGATAGATAGCTAGATAGATAGATGGCTAGATAGATAGCTAGATAGATAGATAGCTAGCTAGATAGATAAAGAGGTAGCTAGATAGATAGCAAGATAGATAGATAGCTAAATAGATAGGTAGATAGTTAGCTAGATAGATAGATAGCTAGATAGATAGCTCGATAGCTAGATAGCTGGATAGACAGCTGGATGGCTAGATAGATAGATAGATAGCTAGATACCTCGATAGATAGATGGCTAGATAGATAGCTAGATAGATAGATGGCTAGATAGATAGCTAGATAGATAGCTAGATAGATGGATGGCTAGATAGATAGATAGATAGATAGATAGCTAGCTAGATAGATAAAGAGGTAGCTAGGTAGATAGCTAGATAGATAGATAGATAGCTAAATAGATAGGTAGATAGTTAGCTAGATAGATAGATAGCTAGATAGATAGCTCGATAGCTAGATAGCTAGATAGATAGATAGCCAGCTAGATAGATAGGTAGATAGATAGCTAGCAAGATAGCTAGCTAGATAGGTAGATAGGTAGCTAGATAGATAGATAGCTTGCTAGATAGATAGCTAGCTTGCTAGATAGATAGCTAGCTAGATAGCTAGCTAGCTGGATAGATAGCTAGCGCCCTCCCTCAATCCCCCCCATCCGCTTTTTATCTAATCCCAAGCTTCCGCATCTGTAAATATTTGGGTGAACATGCTCACATGTAGAACATCCCATGCAAAATGGAAGGTGGACATGCCAAAATGTGGCAAATACCATAGAAAAGGAAGATGAACATGCCCACATGTAGGAAATCCCATGCAAAATGGAAGGTGAACATGCCAAAATGTGGCAAATACCATACAAAATGGAAGGTGAACATGCCCACATGTAGTAAATCCCATGCAAAATGGAAGGTGAACATGCCCAAATGTGGCAAATACCATGCAAAATGACAAATTCAAGTTCCCAAACCGTTGCAAACACTAGGCAAATGGTACCAGCCAAGAAATCAAAAAAAAAATCCCAAACCTGCTCAAAAAAAAATTCCTAAAACTATTTCACACCCTTTTTTCATGGAGATATGTGGCCTTTTTAAGTGGCTGGGGATTTCATCAAAGTGGTACTCGGTGGCTGGGTACTCGGTGAAGCTCCCAGCGAAAATCTACCAAATCTTGGGGATTGACCATCGTTAAGTTTCCGGTGTGGCAGGTACGCGGCACCTCCCGAGGCTGTCCAGCTGAACAACCAGGGCATTCCCGTGGAAGTTGTGGAAACGACGCCTGGGAGAGAAAACCGGGGGGATATGCTTGGGATGGGGACATATGTGGGATATCATGGTCAATCTTGGGACATATTTATTAATATTTCCTCATTTGACAAGAGGTAAATTATATGATAGAGGATGAAATGATGTGGGAGTTGTTTCGGATGTTAACTTGGTGTGGGTAGCAGCCGGGTAGCAATGGACCTGCAAAAGGCTTGTCAACTGCACTCATTTTTCAAAAAAGAGCTGGAACATCAACAAAAATAGTTTTAACCCAGACCAGACGTGACCCAAATCCAGCCATGAAACCGTCCATGTGACACCCCATAAAGTTCGACTTTTTCTGTTCCAAAGTTCACCATAGTTCACCTGGCTGGAACACAACTTTCCCAACAGGCCCAAGACTAGAAAAAACATTTAAACCATCAGATCACCTTGAGCAAATCCAGGCTTGATCAAAATTGTGGACCACCACAGTGGTTTGAGGTCCCCATTGAGGTCCCCAATAGGACCTGCCCAGGTCGGGTTCTGCACGAGAAGCCGCGGAGACGTATCTGCCACTGCAAGAGGAGTACAAGGTCTATCCAAGCAACTCAGTGGGAAAGCAACGGAAACTCGTGATGGCTGGACCACCTCACCGGCCCCAACTCGTATGATGGCTGGGGAACTAGCCCAAAAGGATCCAAAAGGATCACACATTATGAACATGTTGATTATTCTTGATTAGAATTCAGCTGTCTGATAGGGAAACAACAAGCAACCAGAAGATTTGGACGCAAGCAAGAAACATGGGGATTTGGCCAAGCAGAAGCTTGGGATTTTTTTGCGACCCAAATGGAGATTTCACAGTTTCTATCATCAAAGATAAGAAAGAGTAAAGAGGGATTCAGTGATCATTTGTTCTTGTTTGTGGGCTGTGAAGCTTTTACCACTTGATAGTATCCAACAATTAAGGGGCATGGGACCACAGTGTGGTCGTTTGGTCATACCAAGCATCGAGGGTACTCCAGCTGAAAGCCAGCAGCCATGCAAAACAGAGGACATAGCAATGCGGCATTCCTGCCTTCTGCAGAGATTCATGCCAAGATACTTGGCATATCTTGGCATGCAGCTTTCACTACAAACTGAGAAATAGTTGCCCGAAGTCATGGGTGAAAACATGTCTGTGAAAACTGCCTAATTAATGTATCCGAATGTAGTAAGCCCAGTAGCCATCCCAGCAACCATCCATTAGGCGTTCCGTATATAAATCAGTCCAAATAGAGGTATAGAGGTATACAGGTCCCGTATACCCCACGAATCAGCCCCAATTGGGATGGTTTACTACGACGCCCCAAAGCTCATGTCGCCGCCCAGGTTGCGCCCAAATTTGGTGGATTCCCTAATATAGAAGCTACTGCTCAATCCCCAATTCAGCTAAACCAGCTAGTATAATATAGTATAATACACTTGTTTATCATCAATCAACCATAAATTTAGGGATTGTGTGCCCTTTTCTTTTTCGAGGGTAAACCATAACAAAACCCTCAGTTTTGGTTGAATTTTAAGCCCGCCATTTGACCCTCTGCGAATCAAACATTGCCCCTCGGTTGAATGCTCATTTAGTTTGCGGACTCCCCAGCTAGCCTTTACTGAGTAGATCTCATAACAGTGGATATTCATTCCTATACTAGCTGGTTACTATATTATACTATATTATACTAGCTAGTATACTATAGTGAATGGGATACTGCGAGACATCTTCAGGAAGCTCGGGAAACCCGGCTGGTTTTTGTTGGCAAAAACGATGGTTTCCGGCCTTTGTTTCCCGTAGTAGCAACCTCTAAAAAAGATGCCGAAAAATATCGCGGAGACTTGGAATTAATTTATATGGCGGACACATCATATACTTCATCAACTTGATGCCATCCTGGAGAGACTTTTCCAGCATACCTTTTTGGTCCATTGATTCGGTCGCTCAGCCGAGCCCAGGATGGACCCTGACAAGTTTGACCCAGAAGTGCCGCTGCTGGCTGTGAAGCTGACGCGCTTTGTGACTGGGTGATGACCTGCCGCAAAGAGATGTGAACGTTTGGGGGATACAATGATGGCGTGTCATGATTTATAGATATCGGAATATCATTCGGTTCCTTGGAGTGAATGAGCAAACATTTAGATTTTAGCGGACAATGGGGAAGATGCGGATTTTCCGGAGAAAATATGGATTTTTCCAGTAGGAGCAATTGGGTCAGAATTGGTTATTTTAACAGGGTTTTTGTCTCAAAATGGGGGATACCCGGTCGGATACCCCAAATGTTTGTCTCAAAATGGGGCACTGATGATAAAACATGACAAGACCTGTGGATTCGGGGTTATCGTAGTTTCGTACAAACCATCAAACCCATATCTGGGTAAACTTTGATGTGGTAAATTAATTAGTTAGTGTGTTATTGCTCCCTATTACTATAGGAAATATACTAGCCAGAAAAACATGGTAAGCATTGAGTCTTTTTTGTAGGGTATCTGAGACAAGCACAGACAAGCTACAATATGGGGATGGCAGCCAGAACTGGGCGTACCGGCTTCCCGGGGGTAGCACAAGACCCACCAAAGTGGCAGTTATTGGTATTAAATACTACCAGTAGTAGTACCGCACAAGGCAGTGGCGGAAGTTTCAAGAATAGGAAACCTATAGGAGAGGTTGGTTGTTGTGAATCACGGATGGCAGAGCGAATCCACTGATGGACCGACAGGTGGTTGGAGTTGTGTTTCTTGGAATGGTTGCAATGGTTGCAGTGGTCACCTTAACACAACTGCTGGATGTAGTGCGGCGTAGTGGTTGTAGTTGTAGTTGCAGTTGTAGCTGTAGTTGTAGTGTAGCTGTAGCTGTAATGTAGTGTAACTAGTGTATTTGCAAGTGCAGTTGCAGTTGTAGTCGTGGTGTGGTGTAATTAGTGTAGTGTAGTGCAGCGTAATGTCGTGTAGTGTTGTGTAGTGTAGTGTGGTATAGTGTAGTGTAGTGTAATGTAGTGTCGTGTAGTAAGTGTCGTGTAGTGTAGTGTAGTGCAATGTAATGTCATGTAGTGGTAGTTGTAATTGTAATTGTAGTTGTAGTTGTATCTATCTATCTATCTATCTATCCATCTATCTGTCTGTCTATCTATCTACTTATCTATCTATCTATCTATCTACCTATCTACCGATCTATCAGTCTATCAATCTATCAATCTATCAATCTATCAATCTATCAATCAATCAATCTATCTTTCTGTCTTTCTATCTTTCTATCTTTCTATCAAACTATCTTTCTTATCTATCTATCTATCTATCTGTTTGTCTGCCTGTCTGTCTGTCTGTCTGTCTGTCTACCTGCAAGCTTGAAAACGCAGCAATTCTGCAAGACTTCCTCAGCTTTTGAATTTGACAACATCAAAAACGCAGCATTTCTGCGAGACTTCCTAAATGTTTGAACTTGACAACATCAAAAACGAAACAATTCTGCGAGACTTCCTCATTTTTCGAAGTTGAGAACATCAAAAACGAAGCAATTCTGCGAGACTTCTTTCAAACATGTAAAGTAGAGAATTTTTCATCTCGACCCTCCGGAGCCTCAAATCATTGGAAAACACAGTGTTTCGCGACCTTCCTACCTTTTCGCGCACCTGGATCTTCTTCCTTCTGACTCTTTCTCTTTCTTCTTCTCTTCTCTTCTCTTCTCTTCTCTGACTCTTCCCATCTCTGCTTTCATCTGTCCATATTGTCGGAAGTTTGACTCGTAAACTTCCTTCGATTAGACCATCCATCCATAGGCCATGTTTGTGAGGGTTGATAATTTGTAGCCATATCCATGGGTTTGGGTTGGGGAAAGCATCTCTGAATTGGGCCGAACGCTGAGATTGGCGAGTTAACTATGACATAGTATAT